GGCCCCTCTCCGTCCCACCCCTTCCCTCTTCGGTCCTCTTTGTCCCGGCGGCCTTACCGCACTCCTCTCTCCCCGGCCTCCCTCGGCCGCCCCACCGCTGCCAGCACCGACCCTCCTGGAGTCCCGCTCTCCTCCGGTGCGACCCTTCCTTCAGCCCCAGCATCCTAAAGCCATCCACTCCGGACCCAGCCTTCTCTTCAGCCTCTACCTTCCAGTCCCATTTCCTGCTGGTGGGGACCTGTCTCCCAGCCCCTCTAACCTTCCCACCCTTCTGCTTGGGTGTCCCCGGTGTAGGCTCAACCCAGAAACTAACCTGTGCAAGTGGCTCCCGGGACAGGACCGGGAACCCCATGCACACCTGTGTTGTTTTCCAGGAGTGTTAGGGCCTGACCTTTCACAGGTAGGCAGACTTGAAGCTTCCCAAGTTAAGCCTCAAGTCGGGTCTCTTTGTATTTTCTGCACTCTTGTTTGTTTCCGAAAGGCATTCTTGTAACTGGATCTAGGCAGATCACTCGCTGCTCTCCAAGAGAAAATGTCCCTCTTTTCCTAAAAGGTTCTGGGTGATTAACCTGCCCACGGTGCACCCACCACCCCTCTTTTTATCTTTCCCTTTCTTTAAGTTTCTCCCTCCTCCCACTCGCACCCCGCTACCCCCACCGACAACAACAGTCACCCTGGGCTTTACTGCTGAATTAATTTGAAAGTTTGGCGGTCAGCCTTGGCAGTAGAAAACGTTGGTGGAGTCCCGGTTCAGTTACCTGCGAACTACTTTGAACTAGAAGGGGAAGATGTTGAACTATTTCCACTGACAGTCTCTAACGGCGTGGTCCCTGGATCACTTCGCTGGCCCGGGGCCTGAGCCTATCCAGACATACACGGGTTTCTGTATGCTCCCCAGCTTGTGCGTCACCTGTGTGTGTGCCTTCGCCCAATACTATACCTCAGGAACCAAGCAGGGAAAATAAACGTCAATTGGGTGAGTGTGTGTGTGTGTTTGTGGGTGTGTGTGTGTGTGTGTGTGTGTGTGTGTGTATGTGTGCACGCGCACGCGCGCGCCTGAGACAGCCACGTGTATTCAGGGAAGGAACAACTCCCCACATTGTCGCTGGGTTGACTCTGATCTCCCCCCCCCCTTCTGAAAAAGCTCTGAGTCTCCATTTAACGTTGACAACCCAGCGGCGCTCCCTAATGGCCCAGCGGGTTGCACAAATTGGCAGTGTGCTGAGATATTATCAGGACAACACCCCATTGAGTAAGTTCTTGAAACGCAGAAGTAGAGGCCCTTTCTCTGGGCCACTGGGCGCCTGTGGCCTTTCCACCAATCAGAACGGGAGGTTGCAGTGGCCACCTGTTGTCCCGAAAGAGAACATCTTTTTAAGTTTCACTATGAGTATTTAACAATGGCGGCAAAGTGCAGGGTTTGACCAAGAGAGAGAAGCAGACTGTTGACACAGGGTACCAGAAAAAATATATATATATATTCCTACCCCGTAACCCTTAAAGAGAGAGCAAGTATCAAAGGCTGCATAGGTGAGCTTTTCTCTGCTCACTCACATCCCTCCCTCACCTTACAGTCCATTTGCCAGGCACCTGGAGCAATCTGAGCTTGATTACGGAGGAAGCGAGTGAAGTATGATCCAAGCTGCAGAGAGGGAAAACCTGAAGTTGCCACCAGACCTCCAGGATCAGGCACACAAATGCTGCGCTGCTGTAGAAATCCCACTAGCTGCGGGAGCTGGAATTACATGTGCTGCTGGTGTGTTGCACTCACAGACACTGTGAGAACCTTGCCCCAACAGGCACTAGGATTTAGGGTGCCTGCTCATATCCCATAGCACTTTGGGCCAGTATTTTAGAATAGCTCTTCCTGTGAAGCCTCTGCTTGTCAGGTAGAGGCCTTTGAGAGGAGGCAAACTCACAGGACTGGTTTGGGGTTCTTTGAGTTTGTTTTTGTTTTTCTGTGATTGTTTAAGAGAGGTAAACAAAAGTGTGAGTGGTGGGGGAAGGGAGAGTGGGACTACAGGACCTGAGATGTGCTTGAGGCATCTGAATGAGAAGTCACTGGTTATTTGGGAAGTCTGAACAATTGACCTTTGCAGTCTGTCTCCGTGCATTCAGCAGCTGTCTTTGAGGAGCCAGTATATGCCAGCCACTGTTTACACACTTTTGTGTGAGAAAGAAAATCCCAACATGATTCATAAGAGAAAGTTTCTAGAAGGGACTACATGTACTACAGAAACACACACAGAGGTCTCCTCTCATCCAGTCACCTGGAGATCCTGTCATGTTGCAGCTACTGTGGAGTATTTAAAAAGGAGGCTCAAGGGATGAGGTGTTGCACAAAGCAAGATGCTCACTCTCTCCAGAGCAGTAGACCATGATTGGTGCCTTCTTTGCAGTGGAAGTTTATAAAGAAACTGGAAAGAAGGTAGAGGGGAGGGGAAGAAGAGTTAACACTTAAATGGTGGAACATTCTTTGCAGGGAGTCTGGTTACGGTGGGATTTAAGGCTACATAGGACTCTGGCTTGAATGATCTCCAGTGAGAGGACCTTAGGTATCCTTAGGTATCCGGATGCTTTTGGGCTTTTGTATATATGAGCACTAAAGTTATACTCGGCTTCACTTAGAACTGATTTGATTAAACTCTCCATTGCATTGCCGTGAGAGTGGCACCTCATTTTAGAGGTTCCAGGAAATGTGAATAAGGCCCATCCACAAAAAAACTTGAGAATGGACTCTAAAGTATTGAGGACAAATGTGATATGCTGTCATCTTTAAAAATTAATCTTAAATGTGATTTGAATGTATGTTGAATAGTGCTGGCGTGTTATCAGGAAGGGCAGCAGAGGGCGGGGGCGGGGATGGTGCAGTTAGCAAAGCCCTCCGCTTGCCAACTGAGGACCTGCATTCAATCCTCAGAGCCCACATGAAAAAGTTGGGCATCATAACACAAGCTTGTAATCACAGGCTGGGAAGGTAGGGACAAGATCTGGGGCTTTGTAATCAGCCAGTCTAGCCTAACAGTCTAGCTTCAGTCTAACGAGAAACCCTGTCAGAAAAGGCGGTAGATGGCCTTTCTGAAACACCCCAGGTCTGATTTCCACACAGATGCACGCGTGTACACACACACACACACACCCCTTCCACACAAACACACATGAAAATACACATTCATGAACAAGTACGTATACTTAAAAAAAAGTGACAGTAGAAAATTCCTTGTGAAGCCAAAATATAAATCCTGAGCATAACGAAAGTCCTCAGGTGGTTTCCATGTTTTGGGTCATTACTATTGGCTGTGTTAGCTTGGTGTCTCTATTCATCCAAGAATATCTTTTTTTAATGAAATAATAAGTAAATGTTACAAAGTATGAAAGCTACTTTAAATCTTAACAGAACTCTGACTTTTTTTTTTCTACTTACTGTGACCTCAAGTTAATCAAGAACCAGAGAGGACTTTATTAAACTGAGATCTACTGGATGTTGTAACCAGAAATCCAACTTTTAGGAATTTCTGAAAGTCATGTAAGACAGGTACTATTAAACATTATATATGGCTTAGCTCTTTTGCGTTTGGGTGATGAAAAGTCCTTTCCAAATATTATGATCCTTGTTTGCAGAATGTAATGTAGCCAAATTAACAGCAGCTCCAAATGGAAATTAACAAGGCCAGAGCTTCTCAAGTTTCTCCTCTATTCCCATAGTAACAGCTAATGTATTATAAGGGCAAATGTCTGGTGGTTGCTTTTGTATCTGAACTTGGCTTCGCATCATAAAGCAGTGTCTCTAGCCAGCCTGGATTCTTAATACATCACCACAAAATTGGAGTTGCCTATCAGGGAATCAGCATTTCACATTTGTAGCTAGAATCACAGGCAAATAAAATCAGAGTGGCCAACATTCTCACAATGGCTAGCATGTGCAGGGATGAGGAAAATTAATGTAGTACATCTGTAACTCAGTAAAACCCAAGTAGCCCAAGTAAAACTAGTCAACAGACAAGGTTTCCAGAAAACACAGCCTGAAAGAAATGTCCAGGCCCAGGAGATTTTTAGCTTCAGTTTTTAATAAATTTAAACTTTGAGTCTAGAAATGCAAATTCTTTCTTTATTTTTATTACAGTTAAAGATATAGAAACAGGCAGATGGAGAAAAGTAAGCCTTTCTTTTGTAATAAATACATACTCAGTTGTGTCCATGAGGTTAATTCTTGCATTACTCAAATTTTGTTCCTATTTGTTTCTATACAGAAGATCCAGAAAGAGTGCCCCAAACTAATCATGTCTGCCATGGACTATTACTTTTATTAAGAATAGAATCACTGGTAGGTTCTGACAGACTGTAATTATGGACCAGCAACCCTAGAAACCTAGGAGCAAAAAGCACTAAGCTGAGAATTAATTCCTAAAGATAAGAGCTGCATCAAGCATTTGCTTGTAGTCTAAATATTTCTTCAATGAAACTAGTTTAGAAGCCAGTGTCTTAAAAGCGATCAAGAGGTGTGCAAATTTCAGTGTATCTGCCTTAAAAAAAAGTCCTGTATTCACAGAAATCCTAAGCTGGTGTCCTGCCTGTTTTCTGAAACATATTCTATTTTTTTTCTGAAGTGAAAGAAT